AGGGAGGGAGGGATCGATGTTGAAGCTTCTGATTGATTGATGCTTAACTACCAGTAATAACTTCAAATAGTATGAGTTTACTGAATTAAATGTAATATTACTTCTACTATGTGTCAATCATTACAACCCCCCTTACCATGAGATTTCTATCATTTCATTTTCCTGGTATGTTAGTGATACAGTGTACTTCATGCATTGTTTCACACTATTCTTAAGGTTAAATATATGACATCTGATTAAAAAAAATCAGAAATCTGTAATATACAGCTGATGCAATACATCTAGTTTGATCAACTTTTAAAAGTTGCGCTGCCGGTGGTTCTCTTGAAGTACAGTACCTCATCTCTGTAAAAACTCCATCTCAATGCAAAAAAAGCAGCTGGTAGCTGACAGTAGTTGAGATAATTGCAAATTGTAGTAACCCTCAGACAGTAACCTCCCACAGCTAATGCAACTTCTAATGTACAACTGATCCATCTCAGTAATACTCAGTCATCCTGAAAGACAAAATGTATGACACAGAATGTTTAAAATTGTATAGAGAGATTAAGCACCTCAGTTATGTGAAACATGAATGGCAGGAGTGACCACGTGACCTTGTTTTCCCACAATTTTTGCATGTTCAGAACTAACCAGTCATACCAGTAACTGACCAACAACTACAGAACTACAGCTGTTCATGAATCTTACAGGAAAATAAAATTATAATGCCAAAACTGATATTAAATTTCCACAAAGCAGACTTACGCCATTTGACTCTAACAACTTTGACTCTGATGATGACTTCCAAGGATATTAAAAGTTCAGTCATTCACATCAGTCCTTCTCAGGGGGGGTGGGGGTGGGAAGTACCTCCCACTGGCCCTGTGATCTACTGCAGCCTTTGATTATCCCAGGATTCCTTATCATTAAGCTGCCAGGATTATGACCTCTCCCTCTAAAGAGAGGCTATTCCAACCCAGGCAACACTTAGCTTTTTGTCAGCTCTCCCTGACTATTTACTAGTACCCACTAATACCCCTGTGCAGAGAGGGCGGTTGAGAGTAAAATGCCTTCCCCAAAACACATGCCACAATGAAGTGGCTGGGGCTCCCAAGACTCCTTAACTGATACCCACCCAGTCATCATCATCGGCACCATCTCCTTCATCTTGTGGAACATCTTGCTTTCCTTTGAAAGACATCACCTTGTCTGTCCAGGAGCCACCTGCCTCTACACCTCCCGTGTAATTTGCAGCTGTTGCACTACCTGCATTGCCAAGTTTGGCTATAAACTCTGCCACAAGAAAAAGGCATTGATAAGACCTTCATTCTATCACGAGTACTGTCATATTGTAAACCAATTTGGTTTGGCTCTAACAGACTTAGGTGTATCCTACTGCTGAAAGAAAAAAACAAAACAAAATATAGCTTAGGATAATTGTTATACCATGGACGTATCACAAGTTTTTGTGGTCCAATTTTTGTGGTCCAAGTTTTTGGTCCAATTTATGATTCTCGTAATTATGAACTTCTAGGTCAATTTATTCAACCATTTTCCAATAGGCCATTTTACAGTTGTGTACTTAGTCGCCAAGCCTTTGATTCAGAGTGAGGCTGAAGGTGACCTTGTTTTGATAGAGACCTGTATCTACTTACCATGATAACAAAGTGATTTACATTTAAAAGGCAGCAAGGTTTGTATCATAACAAGGTCAACCCTAGCCTCACTCCCATTCAAAGGCTTGGCAACCAAGCACAACTGTAAAAATGGACTATTGTCTTAAATTCTTGAGCAATCATTTTTGGTTGCACTGCATACAAAAGAAATAGCAGAGGTCTGAATTTTAAGGCATAAGAACATCTTAAATGGCTCAAATTGTGCAAGACAGTGGATATTAATGTCAGGAAGAGACAAGAAGCATTATGATTCCTCAGAAACTAGATTAAATCTTGAGAATGTATTTATCAAGCATCTACAAATCAAATTAGACCATGATGGTCAAAAAGACATGTAAACATAATCCATCTTTCATATAAACTTAAAATAACAAGATTACCAATGAATGGACCATCTCCTTTAGTTTTTAATCTGACATGATCCCCTTGAAGCAGTTCCATTTTATCGATGTCTTTTTCTTCATACCAGAATGCTTGACTGATCATATTTCCTCTCTCTGGAAGTTTTTCTTCTGTCAGTCTGGTCAACTGTGTCACTGTTATCATTCTTTTTGCTTCAGCTGCATCAATTTTATCCGAATCACTGACAGCAGATGTCTCTAAAAAATACAGATGCATTCAATTCAGAAAACGTTTTAAAATCAAAGTAAGGAGAGTGGGGGAGACTGGACTAATTTCCAATGAAATCAACTGCTGGTTAATTAGCTTAATCAAGGCTGTGGTCTAGCAGCACCCAATGGCCCCTGGTGTCTTACTTTTGCTCCTGGGCGACTCAGGAATTTTAGTTTTTTCATAAAAAGCACATGCTGGGCATCCTGGATTTCAAGTTCAGAGCACTGCGTTCCATTCAATTTTCCTTAGAGCACAGCCTTGTTAACAGTGACCTGGAAATCTCTATTAACTCGTTAACAATGACCTGGAAATCTCTATTAACTCTTTACACCCTAACATCAGTATGCATATTCTCCATACTGTCCTCTACACATTTTCTAGGGTGCTGACAAGGAGAATTTGTCAAACAATCAAGAATTTTTTGGAGGGACAGTGATCATTTCTTCCATTCTCATGACATTAATGTGTGATTCAGGGGTGATTTTGTAAGAAGAAATTAGATGATAGTCACTTCTATAAGTGCTCAATGTCACATGTAAGATAAAGTCTGTACTCGAACTTATCGGCCCACCTTGCATCCCAGTTTCCAAGAAGTATGAAGTGATTAGGAGTAATTATTACTCTCCACTAGATAGGATGCTAAATAAACTATCACAAGTTTATCCCATGGCATTTCACCATGCTCTCTGACCCTTCACCAAGATCCTCTCGTACTCCTAGGCTGGGTTGTTCAAATGTGGGTTAAGATAACCCAGGATTAGTGTGAAATTTGATTTCAGATGTGGGAGCTTTAAAAGAAAATTAAGTTTAATTCCATTTGTCTACAATTTGATGATTGAATGCTTTAAAAGGAATTGGGAAAATTATTCCAAAACACTCTATGAAAAGAAAAATATAGAAACCTTGATAAAAAAAATTTAACCATGGGTTTGCTCTAATCGGCCTTCAAACAAATGGGCCCTGGGTGGCGAGAGACCGTGAGAGCTAGTGAACTGTTTTGTCTAAGAACACAACACATTGACCCAGTGGCTAGGTCTCTCAAGCAGGAGTCCGGAGCACTGATCACTAAGGTAACTGTGTCTCACAACTTGTCACACATACATAACATGTTATGTACATGTTATGTGTGCTGTTGAATTTTTTTCTATCAAGAGTCCATCTAGCCTGCGTCGCAGACAGTCTAAACCGCTGGACTATACTGGGGATTGTGTGACACATCCGGCTGCAATGCAGGCTAGAGTCCATCCTGTCTCAAGAAGTTTAGAGAGCATTAAAGAAGCTAGAGATGCCCAATAGACTGTACCTCAATTGTTACCTTTACGCTTCTCTTGGGCTTCCCCAACTTCCTAAGTGCATCCATACCTCAATACATGCATGCTGAACATGAACCAACTCATGTGCAATATTGCATACCATAGAATCATTCCTGATCACAATACAACAATTATTGATATAGTGTCTTTAGATCAAGGACTCACAACTGAGTAAACCTCTAACTGTGCATAGAAACAAAACATGTCGTGTATAATATAAACTTACTGTAAGAAGACATTAGATAACCAGTACTGACTTTCTTGTCCTTTCCATAGTTAGGTTCTATTTCCTTCCCGGTGAGCGAATCAAACTTCCTCTTTAAGGCTTTTGAGATCTCGATATGTAGCACTACATAGCGCCACTGTATTGCAAAGAAGTAATTTTATAATTGTGAGAATATATCGAATGTATTGTCGATAACCAATGACTGAAGTAGTAAATCAAACATCAAAAAGAACAACACGGTGATTGAGTTGAAAATACCTTTTGAGAACCCGAGTAAGGATCTGATACGGTAAATCTCAGTCGGCCATGAAGTTTACCCTCTACTATAATTCCGCCAGCCCTTTTTAAAAGAGATAGAAGGCACAGCTAAATGTTTTTTTTCCTAAACGACAGCTGATTATAGTATAGGTAGATCAAAACAATCACTGAAAGAGTGCTACGCTGCGTCGCTCAGCTGTCAGAGAATAAACTGTAATGGTAGAATGTCACTTATAGCCATCTTGAAACCAAACAAACCTTTGCCAGCGAAATAGCTGTTCTGGTTCCCAGCGTTTCTCCCATCTAATAGGGGTAACTGGAATCGATTCCAAGGGTTTGTTTTCGTAGAGCATATGTGCACGGGTCATTCTTACTTCGTAAATTTCTAATGCAATATACAACCATACAAATTAATCATTCTCGAGGTCAATTTCCCACAGGCGTTCTAAAACTTCCACACTAAAGCCTGGAAAGGAGTGTACAAGTCACGCCAGACCCTTCACGAAGGTCATGCATTAGGAAAACACTGAGGAGGATGTAGAGTGATCTATCAGATAACGTCAACATTGAAAAAATTGTACTCTGTAGATATTTGATAAATAGATCACATGTTCCCTTGCATCTGTGCAGTGTAATAAATCACTGATGACGTTAACATGTAATCATATCATCAGTCACGCACTCTGCTCATGCTCACTATCCCCTCTCTGTTTTCTTACCACACTTGACATCATCTGTGATTTATTTCAGAACAGTCCCACGACAACAAAGAACCTGTTTCTAAAATGGCAATCGAAGTCTTTTCATTTCATAATGACCTTTCCCACCGAAGGAGGCCTCTAAAGGTAACCTTGTTGTTTAGTCGCAATATGTCTCCGGACTTTTGGCAACCAATAGAACCGCGGATGGTCAAGTAGTTACAGAAATTCACAACAAGATTTGTAAATATTTGCGATACTGACATGAAATTGGTACGAAGGGACCACAGTGCGAGGGGCACTGACAACTGAGGAACAAGTGTTACTTTTGCCGATTATTGTTACTGTTGTTATCAGTTGTTTTTATGCAGACATGCAAATAACTAAGCCCCAAACTACAAGTGTAGTCTTTAGAGAGTATCTCTCGATAGGAAATAAAGAAACTTGACTGCGAGATGTTCATTTCTCAATTTATTACAAACGGGTCACAAAAAAATAATCATACATTTCTTACAAGAAGCTTAAAATAAACGTGACACAATAAATTATACATTAAATAGGATCTCTCTACGCTCTTAAATACAACCCCCTCGTCTTTACTATTATGCAAATGTTTTAAATGTATCGAGCGTGGAACATGAAGAGAGAGAACCCACCAAATTACTCATTTCGTTACTTCGGCAAGCAACAAAAATTTCAAAATCACAATTTTCTCGCTCTTCTCAGCTTGACCATTGGTTAAAACAAAAGTGCAGTTTTTTTTTTTTTTTTTTTTTTCGCTAAATTGCCCCGTATGTATTCTGTACTAATTTATCATGTGTATATTTAGGCCACCAGTTTACTGGCACGACAAGCTAGACCACAATATCCGCATCTTTACTGTGTCTCTGACGTAATAAATTGTTTAAACTTCATCCAGGAATATCCCTTTTTCAAGTCTTCGACCATTGATAACGATAATATTATTCAAACTCTTCATCCCATTAGCGGGATTTACCAAACGGTAATTATGTCTTTCTTGAACATCCTTTCTCAAAAGCAGTAGCAACATTACATTCTGTCAATTAATCAGTAACATAATTTTCAATTGTTTCAGGCCCTAAAGTAAGTGAGAGGTTTGTCTGAGGTTGAGAGAAAACAGTTCCCCGACTTAGCTTGCCTTTACCAAACATCAAAATGTCTGTTTCTTTCCCAAAAGAATCTAAGTTCGTAATTATATTCACGTACTTTAAGCCTGTCAAGCATTAGCAAGATGACCTTTTTTAATTATTGTATTAAACTGTCCATAAATTAAATACCATTTCATTGAATACGAAACAATGCCAAGATGCAATTGTCAAAATATTGCCAAAAAACTCGAGCGATTATAAATTTATGCGCTCAGTTACTTTAAATTTTAACTCGAGAATACAAAATTATTTTCAAACAATGTTTAACTTATCTCTTAGCAAGGTAAGAAAATACTCATCTTAATTTTTGCGTAAAAAAAAATTATTTTCATACAAACGATTTCGTTAACAGCTGTATACAAAAATATACATTCTATGAGTAACCACAAACGGTTTCCACGTTTTGCACGATGCATAAATTATTGTGCAAATTTACGAACAAATTTTTTAAACAACGAGCGGATCATTGATAGAAGGCGCCAAAAATACGAAAAATTAAAAATAACATCAACTCTCTTTCAGAATTATTATCAATCTGAAAACCTGAAAGCAAAACATAGCGTGTCTCTTTTGTGTAAATCACAAATCGCAGTTTGATTGACTGTCACTAATTTCAGAACAAACGCACTCAAAATTCTGAAAAGTGTACCTATAGCAAAATTAAAGCGAAAGTGTCTCATACGTTATCTTAATTTAACATTGCTTATTAATTCCGTCAACTACGTGACTACTAAATGGCATAAAATACCAATTTCATTTCTCTATATATCGCCGAAAGCGTGTTTGGTTGATAAGCACCTCTTGACGATTAAAAGGTCACTGTTTTTGTCGTGGTTCACTGGTTTTAAAACCCAGTTTTTCGGTTTTTCTCTTTTTCACTTACGAACGACACACCCGTTTTATTATCTCCTCTGAGGATTGTCCGTACTTGTATTCCACAATAATAATAAATTAAGGAATTTTGAACACTTTACATTGACAAACCGACAAAATAAGCCATCGTAAACATTCCGTTTCATAATTTTAGGAGAATCTCGTCAAATAATTCAAAATGATTGTAAAAGTAATAAACAAGGTTTGATTTCATTTTATGAATTAAATAGTTTTAAAACACACCATATTTGTCAATTCTATAATCTGATTCTATAATTCTACGTCTTCGTTATTGAGTTGTAGGATTTCGACTATGAATTTGATACACGACTTTACTACAACAGGATTCTCAAACTTAATTAAAATTTCTCCAAGAAAGTTTCGCACTTCGGCTCACAGACAACTGCAGTGCCTGCAGGATCTCACTGCTTTTAATTTACGGACATATTGCAATTTAGTTACGACAACATTAGCTACACATACGCTTCGGTGATATTCGCTTCTTTCGACCATTTCATGGCCCTGAAAGTATCTCTGAGCGCTACAACAGTAGCAGTGTCTTTCTGTCCCCACTCCCCAAGCATAGCATCGGTGGCTGTTCTTTTATCCAAAGCAAAATTATTGATCTGGGTAGTGTTGAATTGGAGTCGTCCACCCAGCTGTTTCCATCGGTCTCCAGGATTTAAAAACTGTGATAGTTCCGAAATAAGGGTGTAAGAAACGTCTCGAAGCATTTTATCACCTGAATTGACGAAGGAAAAAAATGGTTTTACAATTGTGATAAAGAATTTGAAAGCGACAAAGAGAAGTAATTCTCATGAAAGCGTTAAAAAAGATCTTCAACCCCCAGATCCCAGATGATAAATTTCTTTGTGACTCAAGTTTGATTGACAAAAGTTATCACGCCCTCTGGTCGGAAGAAAAGGGAGAGGTGACGATCTTGGGGTAAGGCGAAGAAAGCTTTACATCCGCGAAAAAAGGGCGTATGATTAAAAAAACAACAACAACAGTAACAAACAGAAAAAAAAAGGATGTCACCAACCATGTCGTCCTCCAATGAAGGGCAAAGAGCTGTAGGGATTTTCTACTGCTCCAACGACTTCCCTCGAGTTTGTTCTTGTACTCGGTTCCTCGCATGAATCTACTGAAATAAAAAGCATTTACAACTTTGATGGCATGACTCTTTCACTCCACCAAAACGTTAAAAAATGGGACCTCCATTGCACCTGTCTGGGCAGCTTAGACGACGAATGGCCCCTCTTTTTAGGCGAAGTCAGTCGCGCAAGTTAGATAAAAGGACAAAAGAAATCAGCGAGACAAATAAATTTGGCGCGCTGCGTGGAGCTGTGGGAAAGAGGCGCAAAAAAGTAATAGTCTACCTCACGCGACGCGCAAACATCAATTATTTTCCTTTGTTTTCTTAATTTAGACTCACATGACAGACATCGCTAAAAAGGTTGGCGTAGCTGGTTACAGATTCGATTAATTTCCTTCCTTGTCATTAGTAACCGTGACACAAAAATAGCAAGGAAAGTTGATCATACCTGGTTTGCCCCTCTTCTTTGGGCGTTTTCTGCTGCTCCGTCTCCTATGCCAAACACAAATCATTGCACCAATGACAAGGATGAAGAGCAGTGCAATAAGAGAGTATAAGGCAGCCTGGAAGCCAATTTCGTCCTCTTCAGAGGATTCACTCTCTTCCTTTACTCCCGTTACGACTGGTACATTCGCTGAAACGGAATAAGAAAGAGGTTTGGGTGGTGCCAAGGTTTCCAGAACCAAATCTCGTTCCCAGGTTCTTTCTTTTTTCCCCCACCCACTGAAGCACTTAAGGAGGGAGGGGTAGGAGAAAGGGAAGGGAACAGACACCGGTAACGAAGTTGTCCATACAGCACATACAGCATACAGCCACCGGCACTACCATAAAGAAATTTCCACCTCAGCTTAGGGATTCTCTCTACCTTAAACGTGTGCCATTTTTTGAAATTAATCACATCACTCTGTCATAAAATGTCACACATTTCATTTAAAATCTATAAAACTTCCTTGAACTTTGACGGCAAAATCGCATTGATAGCGCGGAATTTTTTCCCTCCTTTTTTCTCACCGTGCAAGGGCCTACCAAGTTAAATATAAATAACTAAAGTAAAGCAGTGTTCCTCGCAGGTGAGCCGCAATTTAAGCAATTGCAGAAAAGTGGCCTGAAAGAAATTCTGGCTTCGACATAACTAGAACCCGTGCTCCCCACCAATTGAGCCACGTGGCACATTTTCGAGGGTCCTTCTTTCCGGTGGAGGAATCTCATTTTAATTTGTACATGAAATTTAATTCAATTAAAAAAATCATGTAAATAAGTTAATTATCTACATATTTTTTCAAAGCAACCAGTAGCCGAAAAAAATTGATAGAGAGCGACTTACTGGATAGAGTTGAAAATGATTCGGATCCTGATGAAGATGTTGACGGCTCGTCCTTTGCTAATTTTGTCACACTATCAAATCGAAGGGTTGATTTGGTGGGTACAGGTCTCAAGTCTTTCTGTTTCGAATTATTTTTATCTTTCTCCGGTATGCATTTTGTGTCCTTCCTTCTAGTGCACTTCTCTAAAACGACCTCTCCTTTCTGACATTTACTACATGGTTTACAAGAAGCAAAGCCCTTGCCACTTGAAAACGTTTTTCCCTGATGAGAAATTAAAATATTTTTACAAAGTTAGTTTAAAAAACAAAATGAGGCAGTTAGTATCTTGGTACCATGGATAAAAATGATTTTGAATTTTGACTGTGGCGTCACCATTTTACTGGAAAATGTATCGATATTGAAGAATAAATATTAGCGAGAAAAACACACAACGTTTCGATGCTATCGAATGTATTGATACTTGGGAAAAAGTCAGACACAGATCAATCGTGGAAGTTAGCCCTTTAAACTCTTAGAAGTGATAAACAAGTAACTTCTCCCTATATAATCCATACATTATCCAGCAAATAGGTAACGAGAATACTCGAACTTATCTCGTAGAAGTTTTCTTGATCTTAACCCAAATTCTCATAATAAATTTTACAAGAAAACTTGCAGAAGCTGGAGGGGAGAATTAAAACTCAGTTGTTGGAAGATAAATGCTTAGAGAGCTATTGGAGAGCAATTGAAAATAGCTGTTTGTATTTGATGTTGATAGCTTCTTTTTTCGCGTTTCACAGATCACTGAGGCCATATGTTAACAGACGATTGTCTGTTTGATGGTTCTCGAATCTACTCTGACGTATTTGTATTTGATACACGTGTCATTAAATATATTCCGTTTCGTCGTCCGCATATTTTGGTCGTCTGAATCTGATGTCTTCTTATTTTTCGTACTGATAAAGTGCTATTTGATCGAGTGCCTTAACAACCAAAGCTAAAGGAATTGTAACGGCTAATGAATCAGAGCGAGTGAAAATACCCTAAAAGGCCAAAGACAACTCAAAGTAAAAATAGGCAAACTGCTTCATACGCAGAAAAATGCGGTAAGCAAGACACCATTAGTTTTGGATCTGATTGTTTAAGTTTCTGGACCAGTTACTGTGTGAAGTGGAGCAATACCAAAGCGATACCAGACAACTTTCGAAACCCAATTATAAATTGTGGTATTAATGCTTCTGGTGTGATAGACACATATTTGCAGTTCCGAACAAATTATCCTTCAGCAAAAATAAAAAAATAAATGGTAAGAGATATATTCGCAAAGATACCTATTACGCTGTTCTTTCAACACACTAGACACCCATCCGACAGACTAATACAACACGTTTCGCAACCAGCTCATTATCAGCTCATTTTCGATCGCTATGGCAACATATCGCCAATGAAGCTGCTGTTATCAAGATAGGTTTTAGGTTAGCGTAATAAAATTTTCCTTCAAATGGAATAAAACCTCGAAATTATGTATGCGTCATACAGTCTTTCGCGTGACGTAATGTTGTTCTATTCGATGGGGACCGTCGATGGGTAAACCGTAATAAAAAAGCACGAGGTTCTGTAAAAAACATGTCGATTGATGGTGGTGCATAACAGATTGCACTTGACAAACTTGAAAAGCTCAAAAGTTTCGTCTTTCAAGGTGAAAATATGGTAGTATAGATCAGTTAAATGCTGAACAGCGTATTTTAGTCCCACCTTTTCGCAACGTTCACAAGTTGTTTTCCTTGTTGCTGTGCAGTTGCTCACAAATCCAAACCCTCGTCTACATGGCTGGCATTTGAGGCAAATCAAAAACGCGTCGAAGTAGTGACCAGGAGCGCACTCACACTTGGTGTTTGAGGTAGGGGTGCATGGTTTAACCATCACATTATTCCTCCCGACACAACTTTTACACGTCGAACAGCTTTGAGCATTTTCGTGATCCGTAAATGTACCATTTGGACACTTTTCACAAACCAAAGTGGTTGAATTAACAAAAGTTCCTGGGCCGCATCCTACGGCGATTGTCTGCGAAGAGAAAGTAAAATCAGTTCTTGCTTGGTTTTAGAGGTTTTGTTGTTTCATGTAGGATGGTTCATCATGACAGGATCCATAAATAGGCTTACACATAAAGCTACTTTTATTTTAATTTGATAGTGAAAATTTTACAATGGCGACCCAACCGTTTTGAAGACCAAACAGGCCGGTTTACTACATAAAAAATCCCCCCTAACCCTCCCTACACAAAGAAATCCTTCAAGTTTCCTTGGGGAGGAGGGAAAATTTGCGCAGGCCAGCCTTTGGGTCAGGCATTACTGAGCTCGTTCAGTTTGCGAGAGCCGCCTACACAAGACATTAAGTCTCAACTTTCCGCTCTGACGACAATAGTTGTTATGCAATTTGCGTCAACACAAAGCTATGGAAGACTGAAAATGATCACTTTTATCTCTAAGAATATGGTATTAAATCAAACAAAAACTCCTTGTTAATATCGTCACCCTTTTTACATGGTAATGTAAGAATATTGTACTTAGAGAAATTTCTCATTAGTCAAGATAGGAACTAGCAACATCCTGACATCTCCTTTTTCGGTTATGTTTTTATTGCCACGTTCTGTTTTGTTGTATTTTTCCTTCGCTGCAAGGGAAATAAGGTTTTTTTTTTTCTTTTATCTTCGCGTCAAAATCACTCCAAACAAAATCTAATATCTCGCAGTTTTTATCATTCATGTTTATCAAAGTGAAGTGCCTCTCAAACAAACCCACGTTAATCGAAAATGATGAACGCTGAACGCAACGCAATTGACATCAAATCTGAAACACTGGTAAAAGTTTACAAATAAAACAAGTTTTAAAACAGAAACCTCTTAAACTTTCATGTGATTATCATGATACTAAAAAGAATTTAATTGAATTCAGAAAAAGACTGCACAGGTCACGTGTAGGGGGTTCAAGGCCGCGGTACCTCTGACCACCAAGTAATGTTTGCTTATTTTGTTTACGGACTTCGTATAACACGTATTCTTCGACCTAAGAGGTAAAAAACCTTTTAAAAAACTTTTTCACATCACGATGAAAGGTATATATTTTCTTTTTATGGCGTTGCGTGCTTGACTGTAGTCACGGGTAATTTGCACAAAATATCTCAAATTATCGCACGCGAATGATACGAGACGAAAAACAAACTAGCCCTTTCACGGTCTACGAAAAAGCTAAGTTAACTGCTAAAATAACGTGATTTATAATTAAATTAAACGTAACTTTAGTAGAATTCCAACAGACAGACCACGGTTCAAATCGTCCCCGCTGAAATAAGCCCTAACGTAGCGTGAGCGTAACACGAAAAGCCAATTAATTGAGGTGGGCTTTTTGTGGTTTCCGCGAACACTTGAGTCAGTTTACATCTTAAAGTTTGGCGGAAAAAGGTAGGAAAAAAGGTCCTTTCGACCGTTTTAACGTTTAAAATGGGCAAATAGTAGTTTTATTAACTAATCAATGGAATAAAAAAAAGTTGATTTCGCTTTCCTTTGTTAAGAAAACGACGAATTTCAATGTTGGCAATGACATTTCCGTTGCCGAAAAGGCGCTGACTTGGCAAAAAGATTAGAGCGAGTCACGAAATGTTAATCAAGCGCTGGATTTAAACGGGTTTACCTCCTTTTAGCGCAAAATACTGCTAAATTTTAAACATAAACTGCAAAAACATGAGAAGATACAATGGCTTATCGCCTTGCACAGTGATAACATCCACTTGAAGTGACAATTTCCCAGAGGACGAGCATGGTGCACTAGCATAGAACTACATATTTTCACCTTTAAGTGTTTCCTTGGTGATTTCCTCAACAAAAGTGGTTTCGTAATCTTAAATTATCTACAAACGCAAACACTATCTTCTGTTTACGATGAAAATTTACCAACACCTTGTTAACGTGCGAATACATTCAAAACCACTCGCATTAATAACTTGTACAAACATATCATGGCTGTTTTAGCGCCAATGACGAAAATAATTGATTTCGCGAAGCACGTTGTGTTTCACAGAAATTCCGAGATTGAAGAAAATCGTTCGCAGATTACCTCGGACGGAGAAAAATATAAGTAAAACGGATCTGATAAGGTGAACTTAACCTTAGAGTTTCGGTTCAGATTTTTGTCTCGCTCTCAGTGGATAATCGTGAGAAAAACCTGCGTAGACGTATGGCTTATGCAACATGAACAAACACACAATATTTGTGCTACTGACATAATTTGCTCGCTGGTTACGACGATTCTTGACCGAACTCATATAGGAATAGTTCTTAAATGTTTGTTTGAAATATGCGATGCTGAAGAGACCCTGATATCGCGCACGGATGAGCACCCTATCGGTCCATTCAAAGTAAATATATTTACTATCAACTACGTTTCCTATCGAAATCATAATGAACCAAACAGAAAATAAAAAAGATCTCTAACCTGTGATAATAAAACTAAAAACCAAAGACACCCAAGGCTTCTAAAACGCATTTTGAGTTCTTTAACGACGGTGCAGAAGAAAAGCCACTTTCTTATTAGACAATGCTTCAATAAATGTCAAGTTCGCCCGGTGTAAATTGAGGTTATTGTTCCCACAATGCCAATCATTTACTTAACTAGCGTTTTCAATCTCCATGTCGTGTCCAGGCATATTTGAAAAGTCCACTGATAGAGTCTAGTCGTAAAAAGGTTTTAACTTTCGTTAAATCTGTGTTCCATTATTACCGCATCAGTTTCCGCCAAGAGTGCGCGATAAAAATAGAAATCTGTGAGGAAGAGGCAATTTCCCATACTCACGTACCAAATACATCAATCGATGTGGAGTGTTTTTATTGGAAAACGCAAACTTTTTCTTCCTTTTCCGCCGAAAAATGTTTCAAGCCTCAATGAAAAGGGAAAAAGAAAACCTTTTCAAGCCATTTTCTGCACATGTGTGGACAAAAACATCAAACAATTATGTTAAAAGATAAATAAAAATATTCGAGGGACGAAGTCCATTTTCTGTGTAATTTATATTAGGCCATAATCTATTAAAGAAAGAGACGTTTAGTCGCAATTATTCGTATTCGTAGCGTAAGAATTTCCATTTCTACCCACCAAAGTCTTGAGAATGCAGAAAAACGTGAAAAAAAATCGCTTTTTCCTTACTGAAGCGAGTTTTACGCAAGAGTGACGCCCTTTTCTGACCTAAATATAGATATATTTTTTTATTATTGAGAATTAAAAGTTGTGCTCTCAGAGATTTAAGACGATCCGTACTTTTAAAAAAATATTTGCAGACAAGAACAATATCGCATCATTATATGAAAAACGAATATATAATAATTCAGTCCAAGAAATTTCATCCTTACAAACATGTCGCCCCTAGCTCACATTCAAGTCACGTGCAAAGAATTGCGGTAGAATTCAATTATTGTAAGTGATTTTAATTTGTCTTCTGTCCTCGAGTTAATACCCCTTGGTTGCCATCAGACCTCTTCGTAGAAAACAGAGCTCTTACATCTAAAAGGAAAGTGCCAAAGATAAACTCTTTCTTTGGCTGCGAGCAATAATTAAACCTTTTAGCGATATAAGATAAAAAGTGACCCTCGATCCGATAAGGCGCCGGCCAGTCAGTACCAGGTCACGCAAGCATGTATCATTGCAAAATTCTACTTTAAATCTTTTAAAGTGAGAAACATAGCGTCCAGAATAAAAAATTCCCCTGTTCTATCCACTAAATCACCTTTAAAGAAGTCCGTTTATTAAAATCAAAAAGTATAATCGCAAAGCTGTAGACCGAGAGAAGTAATATGGCGCTAGCTGTCTACCAGATCACGACATATTATTCATTCTGTTTGCTTTGTATTGCTTTGGTATGAATTTACGTTCGAGTTATTAAAACATCTGGCTAATTTTTTCCACATTCTTGCTTTGATTTACAACAGTAAGCATTAGCTCCGCTACAAAATATTTATTTTCCCATATTTGTATCCGACAAAGCGCAAAGTAAGAAAGGAAATCCGCATAGTACGTGATGTGTTCAACTAAGGTACACAATATTACACCTGAAGGCGCTCTACGTGCCGTTTTACAAGTACAACAAAGAGTTTTGTAAAGTGTTAAAACTTGCAATAAACAACTGTACAGGAAAGGAATATTTTATTAAAATGCCGTTCCGATGGGAAATAGAAGTCCAGCTGTGTAAAACAAATCGAACGGTTTCCGGTCTTGAAATCAGAGCCGTCGAACACGCAATCTAATGGAACTTTTATCTATATTGTCTGTATGGTTTTTAAATTTGAAACAATTTAGAGTGGAAAATTGGTTTAAAAAAATGTAAATTTAAGGGTACACATCGTTTAACTAGAATGCGATGGAATGATAGATCCGTAAGACTTAGCGATATTTCCGGCAGGAGGCAAGAGTTCAATCTAGGAATTTTAATATATTCGCGATGGAATTTCCTTGACATCTTGTTGATCCGCATCGACAACGATGCATCTCTATTGGAGCAAATGAATTACTACATTACGACGGGATTAAGTTTGTTTTGCTACTTCACCACTTGACAATATCGGGGCATCTTGCAAAAACGAAAGAGTTGTTTTTCTTGACGAAACTAGCCCCCGAGGATCTAAAACACCTCGACTCTTGCATTTTTTCCTTTTTTTTTTTTTTTGTATATTTCAATGAGCTGTTCTCGCCGACCAAAATAAATAACTTTAAGGCACCATTCCACAAGTACGCCTTACAGGTGAATTATTTAAACTATGCTGGTGCTGTTTTGTTGTAAACAAGGGTCTATTAGACCTTTCGATCTTTGGTAGCTCTCCCATCGCGATTTCCACTGTCAAAATAATTGCGGTCTGCAATTTGGCCCATTTTGCCACGGGCACTAAACGCATAATGTTTTGTGTTACAACATATTTGCCAACATTAGACTTACGACTGGCGCCCCGCAATACACGAGACTCACAGCAAGCGATATCTTCGTGAAAGAAAAAATAAAGTAAACACGATACGCTCAATGCCCTGCTTTGTGCAATTTTCACTCAGCTGACACCGCGAAGTGCAGCAATGAAAAGAATCTTATATCTAATTGTAGTCTCTATTTATTGCGTATTGTTTTCGTTAGGCAAGTTCGAACATATACAGGGTAGGAGGGTCAGTTTAGAAGTCGCCCGAGCATACAGGCCGGCGAACACGAGCCGACAAAGAATACTATTTACCCTCACTTTAGAAGTATAATATGCCGAAAAGATGCGAGAGGAAAAAAAAACACTCTCGAAACGGATTAAGAAACTCTAGCGAAGCCAAAAGTACCGCCAACATTCAAGACTGCGTAGTACTCGCTAATATGAATCAAGCAAAGTAAAGCGATTTGTCAAAATTTTGTCCGGAGGGCAAAAGCGCTCAAATAAAGCGTTGTCAAATGCCGTTTTCTTTTCTGCTTTCGAGTAACGGGTATTGGATTGCTTTTCCCGAGTGTTTTAGCCGTTGTTATGTTTTATAGTCTAAACAAGTCGGATATTTGTATCTCGCAGTTGGTTTCAACCTGTACCGCAATTACTTGTACAATGTGATGGAGCCGCGTTCAAAGTTAATTATTGCAAAACCCCAATCAAAACATATCTTCCAAAATAAACAACAAATCTACTCCACACGAAAGAGAACCGAGAAAATATGCTAGTTTGGCACAAATATCGAGTTTGAGACGGCTAGTCGCATGGCGAAGCAGCTGTATTCGATTCACTTTCAGCATTCACATGGTGGTCTCCGGAACAAATGATACGTGATACTTTGCTAAAAGCATGTGCTTGTTCGCTCTCTGAAGACACGAAAACTTCTCTGCGAGACTGAATAGGTGCAGTAGCCACAGCTGAAGCGACTTGAGCGCAAGAATAGAAAATGTATTCCCCGTGAAAGGCGAGATAGAGACATGAATCGTGTTAATTTCCATTTGTATTGGAGTTGTGTGTTGTCACGAGCGAAAATAGCAACCAAAGCGAGATTTTATCATAACTGCTTTCAAAAACATTCCATGGTTATTCTCATCAAACAAACCCGTGAAATAATAAATTTTAGTCTCATTAATAGAGCTATTCTGAACGCTAATGGCCCTGAAACGTTTCGAAAGCAATTTCGTCGCTCAACGCGAAACGATGAAATAAGCAAAGTAATCAAAACCTTTCTAGATTTCACCGTGCCGGACGCCTCGAAGCCAATATGGCACGAAGAAAGGGCTATGTTTTGTAGAAAACAACTTAAAAAAAGTGAAGAACTTACCGTGATCAATAAAGAGCTCCCGAATATAGTTGCCAGGAGCGCCAGAAAGCGCGCTACCATCTTTACTCCCTCCTCAATTGCGAAAATGCTAAGCTCGGCAAACTTTGAAGGTCGACCCCACGTGAGTGTGTTCGGGTTCTGTCCCTTCTTTGTGACGTCAATGTTTATTTTTGTCATGCCTCGATTCCCGTGGATTCCCGTGACATTCTTGAAAGTCTCGTATCGTTGAAGGGATTTAGAAATGAAACTTATCGATTGGAGAGTAAGTACCTGAAAGTATGATAGCAACATATAATTATTATTTCCGATCCAGAGAATTCTTCGAATTTATGACTGAAACGAAAAAGAAAGGAAAAAACAACAGGGGTTTTATTCGAGTCTTGAGCAGGTGTACCATTCGCTAGGAAATTTATGCGATCGACCAGAAGCCCATCGCCTCTAGTGCGGCAATTATAAGAGCTATATTCAGGTAGATTCCTTCGGAAAAAAAAAAAAGAGAATAAATGTATCCCTTTTCCAAGGTCGACTTTAAAAAAAACGGACACTGAACTAACAACTGTTTAATTTAGTGACCGCTAAAGTTTACAAGTTAAATGATTACCGTCGCAGACAGTGGGGCCAAGGTAATACGGTAAACTGAATTGACAATATTCCTTGATTACCATGTAATTAAAGTGATTCAACAGGCAAAGAGTGATAAGCGCGTGATGACCTCCTTACAGACGAGGTTGAAACGCCCATCCATTCCTCCTAGTCTTGGAACATTATACTGTTACATTCGCCCAATTCCAGTTTTACCATTGACGAGCGCTAGCAGGCTTCTGAAATCATTTTACTTCACCAGCCTGGGCTGATCTTATTGTAAATTGTATATGTACGTCAAGGTTTGCTTCCCTCAAAATACCTCTTGGAGTCTTGAAACAGAGCAAAGCAACTTCACACAAATGTTACAATTCTAATGCATCAACCAACGCATTTTTAATTTCTGTCAGTAATTCAGTCGTCGGCATAAATGGATTATAAAATACCCTCACAGAGTCACAGAGGTCATTTCTCTCTCTTGTGTTTATATTTGCCACTTAGTTCACTCAAACTTGATCGAAGAATAAATAAGAAGAAGCTTTGGAAACTAGCCAAACCATGAACTGCAAATTTTTGCACTCAAATATTGCCTTCGTCTCTAGATCAGTAAAGTGAAGAGTCGTTTATGATTAGATACCGAATAAAAGTCCCTTAAAATAGGAATTTTATCATGACCTCTTAGATTTCAATAGGGTTAAATCCCTGTTATCTTTTC